TTTTTGTTGCAGTAGATATTAATCCCTTAAAACTGGTAAGGATTTAAAACTCAATTATAAATCTACTCATTCTTAAGGGTGAAATTAACTTTTTTGTGAAAAACATATCAATTATATTCAGAAAAAAAACTATTTTAAGGATTATCGAAAACTTAAGAGGTTTTCTCTCATTACAACTGCTATAATAAATTATCGATTTAAAAGCTTCTATTTGCAACAATCATCGAATATAATGACAATAGACAAGACCACTCAATTTTTATATAGTCGATTTTCAACTAAGGAACTTCAAAAAGAGAAAACAAGACTGATCGTACACAGGGCAAAGCCCTGGACGTTTCGACTGCCCCTATATCATAACGGATAGTTTTTGGGAAAATGTAAAAAAGATATTGAAGAACCATAATTTTTGGACAATATCAAATATCAGTTGTAAAATTTTGATTCGGGCAAAACTAATACGACCAATTTGCTAGCTTCAATTCAATTTGGAAAAATTTTTTTATGAGGGATATGTTGCAATGCATAAATATTTCGTGTCACGCTTTCAGGATTATGAAATACATCTTCAAAGCGGTAATGATTTAGTCCACAGCATGGATGGCTAATTTGACAAATTTCAAACTCAAATAACTTTGCAAAAAATGATTGGAGGTAAAATTTCTTTCTATATTTGATTTCAGGGAGTCTTTATCTTCAATGAGGTATAAAAATTTTTTGTTACAAACAATTATTTCGATCGCTGTAAAATGACTGAAAACAAAAAAAACACTCCATAAATTGAAGAATTGAAAACCAGCATAAATGGAAAGTCGGAAGAAAAATTGGATCAATTATTTTGCCTCATTTCAATTGGTGTTTTTTTGAGTCTTACTAACTTGGCACCATCGCTAAACTCAAAAAAAGTATCGATAAAACCACGCTGAGAAGTAATTGACCATATTTCCTTCAAAAATTAGAAAAATAGAAGTAATCTCATGAACCGTAACTACTCAAAAAAACGCGTGACAGACGAAGGCAAACTGTTCAGTGAGAGAACAATGTAATTTGACTGTCTTGAACGAATATGGTTATGTTTCGACTTTCTCGGCCGAAAAAAAGTGCTCGACTGTGCTGGCCCCAAAAACCACATGTGATTTGACCGTCTCGGTCGAACTTCCGTTGGTTTCAACTTTTTCAATTGAATACAATTTTGAAACTCAAAACATAAAATAAGCACCTCGATACTTACGGTGAAAGGAGACCCTTTCCTTGTGAGAGCTTCTCAATCTCTCAACCCTTGTGTAAAACAATTTTTCTGGTAACAATTCATCGTTTTCGAGCAGAAATGTATTTAACTCTGCGAAGCTTTAATCTTAATTAGATAGAATATGGTACTTAGTTTACGAAAACATTAAGTCGTGGTCTGAAATATTTTATCTAATTAACGCTAACAATGGTAAATAATTTTAAGTTGCGTAAATCAAGCTTCATATTGTCTCGTTAAAACGGATAAAAAGAACATTGCCAAAAAAAAGTGAGCCACAAAAACGTAAAAGGGCTAATTTTGAAGGCTCGCGTGCTCGTGGTATGTTTTGAAATTTTTTATCGACCCAAACCACTGCCTCGGCTATTCTGTTTTGGTCGAGCACGACCTGTGACATACTTCAAATTTTGCATCAGGAACCACACTGAATCGAATATGTTTGCAGCACATAAATAATTATTCGCTATACGTTTGCTAACTCAACAAGAGTCGCCGTTTGCTGGAAAAGCAGCACAGGTTCTGTTAAACTTGAATTTTTTTGTTACATGTGAACCTGAAGTAAGAAAAACACAAAAATTTTACAGAAAAACAAGTTTCAGTTTTTTCATATATTTATCAAAATTCTGCTGAAAACGCATTTAGAAGAACACGGCAAAATATAAAGCATCTGGAAAGTCAGTTTCTCTAAAACTCAGGTTAGGTAATTTTTTCTAAGCGTTGATAAAATTCCGGAAAAGTCACGCGTATTTTTTCGAAAAAAAATTTGTGTGGATCGCATAGTTTTGCAGAACTTGATTTTTCGCTTGTTCAATTGAAGGTTGAGGTTAAAGGTTAAGAAAATGTGAAATTTCATGGAAACAGTTTAATAAAATGCTTAATTGTTCTCTGTTTTATAAAAGGCCATTTTTTGTCGCCGCCTAGAGATACAAATATGATGATGAAATTTTAAAATTGTTCAAAGTCTTTACGTTATTGATCATACAAAACCCAACATCAGACAAGCGAACATGATAGAAAAACTGATGTCAGAGTAACCGACTTTTTTGCAGCAATCTCTCATAAGAACAGCGTTTTGATACCATACTACTCATCTTACAGCAATTTAAGTGTTCTATTTAAATTTTGTTTCTTTTCAAATCACGCTTTTTGATTTTTCAATTAGGGTTTTTCTTCCGTCTTCCGTGAAAAATACGGAAAATTTTTGCGTGGTTGGTTTTTTTATCCAGACAAAATGTCGCTTTATAACTAAACATTTTTGACGAAACTTTCTAACATATTTGAAAAATTATGGGGTCTGGAGCTCAAATGTAACAACCCAAATCTTATCAGCTAGAAGCCCCGAATGCTCCGACTGCTTTTTTCAGATCTAAGGGCGTAGTGTTTATGTTTAAAAGCGGATGAAATATTCATTTATAAAATGAAATAATTTTGGAAAAACATTTGTGAAAACATTTTTTGAAAATCATCCCGCTTACATTACGTAAAGTACAAAGTAATATGGAATACGTTTAGCAAAATAAAAAAAAATCAAGCCTCAATTCAGCTGGAAACGATTTTTATCCCGGTTTATAATCTCCGATTTAGAAATCTTCAAGTTCCCATAAGTTAATAATCACATGTGAAACATCTTTTTAAAATGGAGCTCATGGCCACAAAAACTTGCGAAGGGTTTGAAAAATCTCGTCTAAAAACCCAAGTCGTGAGTAGAAACTTGTCTGGAGAAGAGCAAATCACCCCAAGCACAAGTTTTTTTCTCTTTTTTTGTCTCTTTTTATTAACTTTCGCTGTTTTATGAAAGTACAAGACTTATACCATCCCTATTAAAAAACATGAGAAAAAAATTGCTGTCAGAAAAGTTATCTTTAAACAAAAAATTTTTGAACAACTGAGAGGAGCAATAAGGAATATTGAAAATTGCCCTGATAATCGAGTTCAATTTTTAACCTTTTCAATCCAAAAATATGGTACAATCATATTCTCAAAAACATGGCAAGAAAAAATTATAGCAAATTTTGGCTTACTTTTAGCAAAAAGTTTCGCATGTTGGACCTCTGTTTTTAGAGAACGGGAAATGCAAGATTGCTTTTGATAATTCCAACCTTTTAACTCAAAGCAACCTAATTTCATACAGTTTCCTTACCTATATTTTGTTACCTAAGCAAATTGAAATCAGGAACACTATGCGCAATTGTCATGATTCCCACCTTTTAACTCTAACCAATTTTTTTGATACAGTTTCACTACCTACTTTTTGTTACAATAGCCAATTCAAACTAGGAACAACTTAAAGCATTTTCTATGATTTAACTTAGTCTTAATCCAAAAGGAATATAAAATTTAATTCAAAGGGGAGTTCGGCAGAAACAATCAATAAAGTGAGTAAAATTTTTGCTGTTCAAAGCTAGACAATTTTGAGCTACTTATTTTGCGCAAAGTTTTTATCAGAATTTACATTGTCAACGACTGGGATGGTTAAAGTGATGCAAACTAAAAACAAGGAGCTTTTCAGTGAACTCCAAAGGCCCTCGATTAAAAAAAAGCTCTTTGAATAAAAATGGCGTAGTTTTTCAGACGTATTAAGCAGACGTTTTCTTTACTTTAACGTGGTTTCGTCGTTATTATTGGCTTGGTTTGAGTAGAATTTTTGAGACGTGGAAATAAGCTAATTCTATTTTCAATCGGCTTTGACTATGTTTTGATTTTTTCTAAACATAGGTTTTTCAAAATCTAAACTAGTATAGGTCTGCTCGAGACTCGTTTGGTTGCACCAGATGATTTAATGTCCGGGGTGGCTTTTTCAAACAGTAATTTTGGATAATGTAAAATGTCTGTTCGTCACCCTATCTAGTTTTCGGCGAGATAGATTAGAGCGATTTCTTAGTCTGATTCCGATCCTAATCTTACTCTTATGATTCCTTGTCTCAATAGACTTAGTATACTAGTATTCTTGCGAGGTCAGAAAAGAGAAAGAGCAACTGCTTTCTAAGTCAAGTTAATTTTTCTCTGGTTGAAACTATAAATAGTTTCAGCTTTTCAAAATATCAAAAAGTTTAGTAATGGATGATGATTGGATAGTTTTAAGCATTTCACAGTGATAATTATCAAGGAATACAATTGGATATATAAAATACTTGTTTTGAACTGGTTGCAAGAGGTAAAATAATTTTTTTTACGTTTGATTTCAGGGAGTCGATGTGTTTGGTGGGGTGTTGGATGTTGTTTAAAACTGTTATTTCGATCGCCGAAAGTTGACTGAGTAAAAGAAACCACTACAAGCATATCTAGTCAGTTTTCTTTGAAAGTTGGAAGAAAAGTTGGATCAAGTATATTGCCTTATTTTAACTGGTATTGTTTTTTTGCCTGATTAACTCGGCGTCATCGCTATTTGAAAACAAAAAATGAAAATTTTGTCGCGGAAACGGATGAAAATTTTGGCGCCCAAATTGGTGGAAACGGCAATCTTGAGATCAAAAAACTTCCACAATTGGTTGCAGGTGAAATTATCTGTATATTTTTGATCTCAGGACTCGATGTCTCTCGGACTGTTTCTAAAAAGTTCGTCAAAAATTGCTAGCCAAATTTCGAAATAAGTTTAGAGAAAAGCCACGCTGAGAAAAAATTGTCTTTCTTTTCCTTCGAAAATTGGAAGAATAGAAGTAGTTTCATGAACCGTTGCTACTCAAAAAAAAGAGTGTGACAGGCAAAGGCAAATTATTCACTGAGGTAAACTCCCCTATGAAAAAAAGTTACTCACGAGGTTATATGTGATGTAGACGAGAAAAATACCAGACGTCTGATAAGTACTTCAACACAATTGAAAAATGTTTTCTATGTGCTTGCGGATCGATAAAACTGAGAAAATATACTTCAAATTAACTCAGGTGAAAAAGTCGAGAAAATGAAAAAAAATATATGTATTACAACGCTTTAAGTTCGTGATCTGCTTTTTGGACAATACAACAGAAAAAACTCTTAAAATTATATCGCGAGGCGAAAAAAGCTGTGAGAGAATGAAAGGAAAACTAAAATATCTACGACAACACAGATTTAATTTCTCATCTGCTTGCGTTTCTTCTAGCTAAATGGTAGGAGAAAATATTTTCAGCGTCAGTTTAAATGATTGCTGAAAATACAAACCAGATAAAAATAATGTCTAATCTACGGTACATGATGTTATTATAGTTTTGCAGAAAGTAAAAACCACAATTTAGAAAAAACTTGTTCTCATGTTTATGATGGCTGTATAATCTGATATATACCTCATTTATACATGATATATCCTCTAGTTTATTTAAACTTGGTGAACTTACAAACCGCCAGCTAAAAAAGTCTTTTCTAGTGCACCAAAATGCTGCACATAAACTTATATACACTAAAAGTATTTGAACCCTCGCGGGTTGGCCTCCATACACCGAAAATGCTTATCATACAATTCCATACATCAAGTGTATGGAAAACTGCTGGAAAACTACAATTTTCATACAATTTCAAAAAATCATTGGAAAAAGATTCCTATTTATTTCTGCGGCTATGTGATCTAATTAAAACAGTCTGGTGGGAAAAAAAACAATAATTTTTTTTGGAAAAAAATGTTTATCATACAATTTCCATACATGAAAATTGTATGGTAAGCGTTTTTCCATAAAGGGCAAAATTTTTAAGAACCTTTCGAAAGCTGTTTGTAACATTAACTATGTAAATTGGGCCTTTTATGAAGTTTTTTTTCCCGGAAACTGTTTGTCATACAATTTTCATAAATGGCAAACTTTTAGTCATACAATTTCCATTTATGACAATTTGTTAGTCATACAATTTCCATTTATGGAAAAATGTTTATCATAGAGATTTCATACATTGTTCTGTACGTATGGCATTGTATGGAATTGTATGACAAGAAATTTTTCATAAATGGAAATTGTATGATTAGAAGTTTTGGTCAACCCGGGCTTTTTGGATACTAGAAACACTAAAAAGCATTTAATTGGCCACTTTATCTAAGCCTGTTATAGTGTTACTTCTTTTCACCTTTTAAACGTGTCTAAAACAGTCTCCACTTTGCAGCTCATTCCGGTGTAAGTTAGAATTTGAGTGACGAGTGCCAGGGGGCAGATGACGTCATCATAGTTCAACGTACTCCGCAGCATCTTCTGGGCCAGAGAGAGTGCGCCAGCTGTAAAGATGAGGTCCCGGCCGGTTCGTCTCACACTGGCATAGGGCAGCCAGAGTCTAGAAGTAGCTCCCGTACCCAATGAAGGCTGCTTTTTTATATAGAAATTTTATATAAATACCTTGCCAAAATTTTTTGTGTTTTCTGTACGAAAATGATCTATTTCTTTCTTAGTTTAGATATAAACACTTTCTGGAATGAAATAACGAGTAAACATGCTTCGAGTATACACGATAGCCGTAGCAATCCGCACCGAGCGACCATGGATCATAAACTATTATTTGTCATAATATGGTCAGTATCTATAAAATTACAAAAGAATAGATTATAATACATTACAAATGGATTATAATCCTAATATTTTTTATGCCAAAATAATCCATTATAATCGATTATAATGGATTTTTTTGAGAGACTTTTCATGAAAATTGCAACTTTTCTTCTCAAAGTTATCTCATTTCCTGTTTATTGCAGTTGCTGATTAATACACTTCGTAAAATGTTACTTTTCACATTTAAATGTTTTATTTTTTTTTGTCTTATATATTTTGATTGAATTTCCACAGTTTATTTTACCCCCCAGTTTACTTTAACCCCTCCCCCCTTTACTTTAACCCACTGAGTTAGAACCGATGTGGTTAACTCATAGAGTAATTTCGGATAGGGTACACCGTCTGCTCGTCACGCTATCTTATTTTCGGCCGGATAGATTCGTGCAACTTCTTAGTCTAATACCGATCCTAATCTTACTCTTATACTTTCTAGTCTCAGGGTGTTTAACTAGTCTCTACTAGGCTCAATAGATCTAGGGTATACTGGTTTGTTGCGGCTGCTGAAGTTCTCTTGGAGAGACAACTAATTTCTAAGTTAAATTCAAATCTCTCTGGTGCTGAAATTACAAGTAATTTCAGCACTTACAAATAAGTGGGTTGTTAGTTAGATGGATCATGATTGGTTAATATTAAATACTTTACAGTGGTAAAATATCTAATTTATCCAATCATAAAATGTAGTTTGGATCAGGTTCCACCCATCCGGGTTTTACAGAGTTTTTTAGAATTATCTTTCTGCAATTCAAAGGATGGATGATGAACCTTGGTATTGGGCGAACATCGTATTCTTGTCCGGTTCCTCTTGTTAGAGAAGTTCCAGGACGCTGGAGTTTGGGGCATTAATCGTTTTGTCTTCTTGTGACAACGACTGTGTTTCCCAACGAAATCAATCTGATTTCAATATGGTTTGCTATGACGGGTTTCTCTGTATTATGTAGAGAACTTGTTTTGTGTTCAACCTCGTCTGGGAATGGCGTGGAGATTTTGCGTGGAGGGGATGCCTTGTAACTTGGATCTGTACGTATACTTGAACATCGAGGTGGTCATTGGTCTAGTTCAATGAAGTCCTTTTCTGCGAAGTCAAGTCGTACTCTAAATCCTTTGAGTTGTGATTGTGGACGGCATATCGGTTGTGGTTAGCCATTCTTGTTCGAGTTTAGTGGGGTCATTTTGTCTTTGGATGTTCGTCTTTGTTGTTGTGTGCTGATCTATATACTGCAAGGTATAATTTACATTGTATAAAATTTTTATTAGTACAGTTTTTTAATTATGAATTTAGTTAGTTGTTTTCACAAAAGCATTTTGTTTTAGTTCGGTTACTTTGAAGAGTTACTCACCCTTGAGTCACCCTTATTAAAAATAGAAGTGTGGTCACAAAGCGTGGATGTAGCGCGGTGGGTTAGGCCGGCTATAGAGCATGCTCAGGACGTCCTCTCTGGTGCGTTAGGCCAGGAGTGGGAGTATGATTTCGTGCGGTTTCTTTGAGAGGTCCTGTTATGTGATAACGTTTTATGTTGGTTTTATGTTGGTCTTTCTTATGTTCCTTTGGTTGTGTCCTTTTTTCAAAAATCAAACTGTTTTTGTAATGGGTTTGTCTTTCGACTTTTTTGTGTTTTATTATTTCTTTCTTAGACTTTATAATAGTCTTCAAAAGAATAAATTATCCAGTTTTAAACTGGGTTAATCCGGTTTGGGTACCATTGGTTTTCTTTTCTTAGTCATGCTGTTATTTTATGATTTGTGGTGTTTAGTAAACTGCGTTGATTTGTTTGTTTTAGTATATAGTTCCTTTCCAACCGGGTTAAAGGAAAGTTTGAAACTTGTTATCGTGTGTTAGAGTTGTTGAGTGTGAAAACTTGAAACTAAAATTCATTATTTAAACAATTCTTCGTGGGCGAGCTCTGCAAGTTTGGATAGAATTCCTGTGCGAGTGAATGAAAATATCAAAAGGTTAGTACTGCATTTTCATTTTATTAATTTATTACATAGAAATTCAATTTTACTGCTAGTTTTGGGGGAAAATTAAAGTTATAAATTTTCATCATATTTAAATTTACTGCTTTATGGGGGAATAATTTATAAATTAATTTACTACATTTGGTATAAATCTTATCAGATTATTTTGTGGAAAAAATTAATGAAGTTTAGAATAATTTTAACAAGTTTTTATTTTTTATTTTTCTTTTCTGTTTTTTGCAGATGATTGTGGTATGAAGACTATAAATCTAAAAGAAACATGAGTAAAGAAAATTTTTAGTTTGAAGCAGTGGCCAAAGCAATTGAAGTGCTTTAATAGTTTTTAGTTCTTCGGTGCCTACTGCAAACTCATAAGGTGTGTTTTGAATGAGATTATATATTTTGTGATTGTATTTAGTATTGTGAATAGATTCTAATATAGGGATTTCTATAGGTTGGATAAATTCATGCGGGATAAGGAAGGGTCTGGATTCTTCAGCATTAAAGGTCTTCGTGATGGGACAAAATATATACATTTGTGTTATTGGGTCATAATTGCGGAGGATGCCGTGGAGGTTAGTATCTTTGATGCAATAGGTGAAATTTAGAAAAAATGGTGAAGTGTACTTCGAGTTAAGAAACTGAAAACGATGGTGTGGTTGTCTTGATGGAGTATGTAGATCAAAATGATTTTGTATGAAGCGATAGTATGTATATGTGTGAGTTTGTTTAAAGCGTAACATAATGTCGTGTGAACAGTGCAAATCGCGTTCATGTGGTGCAAGGAAGTGAAAGGTTAGTGAAAATAATTGAAATTTTTCTTTAAAACTTTCGTAAGCTTGCATATCAGTTAGTGCTTCAGAAATTGTGTGATCATATTTTCTATCAAAAATATTGAGTGTGAATACATATGATGTTTTGATGAAGACTTTTTCTGTTAGTTGTGGGTTAGCGAAGCGGTCCTCATCTAAAAATTGGTCTTGATTAGTTCGGATGATATTATGGTCGTAATATTCTAGTGTAAATTCGTTAGCTTGGGGTGCAGTGAATGTTTTTAGTGATTTTTTATATCCTATATAAGTAAATTGTCTAGGTGTTAGTGTTGCGGTGAGTCTATATAGCATATCTTTATTCTTCTCTATATCGCTATGAGTATTAGATAGTGGCAGGCAAAGGGGATTAGTAAAATGATAATATGTTGTCCAAGGAAGTAAAGGCATTAAAACATATTCATCTACAAAACTACGTGTGTCGTTAGTGTCGTTGTGTTGGTGTGTTTAAAGTATATTGTGGAAATGAAGGTAAGGTGATTGCTAGAAAATCTTTCGTGTTGGTGTGGTGTGGATGATTAATATATTCGCGGGCTGTTCCTGGTTTGGGAATTTTCTTTTAAAAGTGCGATAAGCTTGGTTATTGCTATTTGATGAT